TTGGTTGTAACGTTACCACACGGGTAGTACACTCTCAGATGGCATCAATGTAAGAATGAATATATATAATACTAATGAGCTTTTCTTTTTAGCGATAAATTTTTGTTTACAGCCAAATCCAAGAGAGTTTTCGATGGAGAGACCCTCTTTGATTTGAGCTCCAAACTAATTAAGATACGGAATCAATAGAGAAAGTGGGCATCGGTCAAATTACAATATGAAGAATAGAAGTCTGATCTTGGCAAGTTAGTTTCCTCTTCAGATTGCTGGCATCGCCAGTTGATTATCTACGCCAAAAGCACTTCTAAAAACTAATGCAAATATATATGAAAATAACTAAAAATCAAAAGAGGAAGTGAAATTGAGAACTTACATGCCCGGGCCAGTCGGCTCGTGATGCCAGAAACCCATAATTTGGGGCCCATATCAGGACCGTGGGTTATTTTACACCATTGCCTTCTCTTTTCACATTGGAAATTGACTGAGTTTTAACTAAGAGAGATTCAATGTTCATATTGGGTTTTCTAGGGTTTGATGGCCTAGATCTCAGGTTAGGTTTAAGCTTCTAGGTTTCTAGGGTTGAACGCTCAGGTCTAGGAGTAAGGTTAAGGGTTTTCCTAACCTAGGGTTTTCTAGAGTTAGGTTTTTTCACTTTGGAATTGGGGTTGTCTAGGATTTTTAGGTTCTTTTGTTTCTCCTATATTGTTTTTCGCTCTTAGCATCTCCCTCTCTATGGTAGGAGTTAGGTCCTCACATTTTGTTTGAAAACCATTTTATTTTTTGTCTTCAGGTTTTCCTAACTTATGGCTTTCCTCTCCACTCTTTCTATGGTAGGAGTTCTGACTATGGCAACATCTTATGTCAACTTTACCCTCATTGATGCTCTCTCTGAGAGGTTCAATTGCTAAATGAATGCCATTCTTCTTACTACCGAAGGGACTACTCCTAATTTGGAAGAAGTTTTGAGAATTTCAAGTCTGAGTCTGGCAGATCCCTTATCATCCCCTAACGGCTATAGATGATCACTCCATCTTGGGGAGAAGTTTTGGGAGCAGCCTACTTCCCACAAGGAGAGTGGTACTTCCCACAAGGAGAGTGGGTTGACATGGAGGCCCTTGTCGTCAATTGGTAGTTATCCCGCTTAGAGCAGCATATTCGTATCTTCATCTTTATCAATTCTTTTCTTTAGTAGCCGAAAGATGGTTTGTAGCACTCTCATTCCCTTGGCTCATGCCTTGTGGCAGTGATTGGGGAGTGCTATTGTTCTGGCAGTCCAGGCTGGTGTTTATCGCAACCCCTTCAATAGGGTGACTCGTGGTGACCATTTCATAGGAGGGTGCGTTTTAATCTTGCAGGTATGTTTCTTGGACCCACTATTCTGTTTTGTGCTATTTCTTACTATTACTGCAATTTCCTTGAATTTTTACAATTTTAAAGGCATTGTGGCAGAGACGACGCATTATGCGTTGTTTGGGCCTGACACCCTTAGATGTCGCATCTTGCATTGTTTGAAGTAGTAACCCAGGTGCTTGTTGCTTCAGTTTGTTGTTTTTCAATAATAAATTTCGGCTCTCTGAACTCTTCTAGTTTCTTTTTTCACAGGTCTGAGCATATGAGCAAATTGCGTCATCCGCTCTCCTTGATCTACGAGTGTTGTGGCCGCTGCTCATGGATTAGTCTATACGAAGGGAATGAGAGTGCTACAAACTTTCGGCTCCTAGAGAAAAGAATTGATCCGAGGAGCACAAAGATGAAGATACAAATCTGCTCTTCTGAGCAAAATAATTCCCAATTGATGACAAGGTGCTCCGTGTCAACCCACTCTCCTTGTGGGAAGTATGCTACTCTTAAAAATTGTCTGCCTAAGATAGAGTGATCATCTGTAGCCATTAGGGGATGGTAAGGGGTTCCAGGTAGACTCGGACTTGAAATTCTCAAGACTTCTTCTAAAATAGTAATAGTGTCTCCAATAGTAAGGAAGGTATTCCTTTGGTAATTGAACCTCTCAGAGAGAGCTTCAATAAGGGTAAAGTATATATGAGATGACGCCTTAATCAAAACTCCTAGCATCAAAAGAGTGGAGAGGAAAGCCATAAGTTCAGGCCCTTGCCTCGTAGAGGAAAACCAATCCCTGAACTAGGACCGATAGGAGGGTAGCCTTGGACCCTTCGTGGGGCATCTCCTGCCCTTAAACCTGTGCTAGGTGATAAGGGAGACCATCTAGAAAGGGCCTCACTCTGGAGAAGGAAGGGCCACTTCCTTCCCCATTTCAGTAAACAGGAAAGATGAAGAATAAGGAATAAGACCCTAGAAGTAAGAGAAATTTGAAAAGCTGAGAGGAAAGAGTGCAATGTGGAAAGTTTGGCCAAAACCCCTATTTGTCGTTGCAAAACGACAAGTCCCGAATGAACAAGGGTTCCCAAGACAACCGGGATTGAGAAAAGTGGACGTAGCCGACGACATGTTTCATGACGTCTGGGCCATAGATGTAAACGACATGTCTCGTGTCGTCGGGGCCAAAAATCCAGAGACAACATATCTCTAGTCGTTTGTACCAGTTGGCCCAGCAAACTGGATTTCAACATCCAGTAGCTCCTGGAGGTTGCAGTACAATCACATGTATGCCGTTTGCTGTTCCAGTTAATGCTAATTTTTAAATAATTTTACAAGGCTGCATTTGATCCACTAAAACCTAAAAGTTTCCAAAGTGTTCTAGAAAATGGCTTCTCTTCTAGAAAGGAAATTTCAAAACTCTCAGAAAATGCTCGTTGGTAGCATGAGCCTAAACTGCTAACCCCCTTCAGCCAAAAATCATTTTAGAAGACAGTTAAGAAAACATCTATCCCCGTATGACATAAAAGGTCGGCTGTATCTCCATAAAACATCTAGCTCTGTATGAGGTAAACGGTCGGGTGTATCTCCAAAACACATTTTCGGAAATCTATCCCTGTACGACATAAAATGGCTGGGTGTTTTAAAAAACCGTCCGCCACCAAGAGACGTTAAACTGTCGGCTTGATTACGTCCATCGTTGCATGACATTGAACAACTTGAGAGCTCCATGGCGGCATGAGCTAAAATTGTTGATCAAAAGCTTGTTTTCCAAAAGTATTATATCACGGTCCATATCATATTACGGTACTGTTGAAGTCTATTTTTGTTTTTGATATGATATTACGGTCCATGTCAATGTGGTTCTTGGTTTCATGATATGCATGGTTGTAAGAAATCCAGATAGATTTGATACGACATTAATAACGTAAACTGATGCGGTGTTATCCATCTCTCTTCTTGTACTATGCCCTTCTCCTTGGACAAATATCTGAGTGAACATTTGCTGTGTGAACCCACCATGTCCTTGCCGCTCACGCTCCACACTTTCTCATACTCCATCTTTCCAATCGTCTTTCATCCCCGTATCCAATGTGAAGAAAGTCATAACTAATGGACGTGAACCACATAAGTTGTGGTCAAGTTAATTATCGATAGAGAAAGAAAAACATGGGTTGTGGTCATTTTCTTTTGCTGGAATCAAGGGTCAAAGTGATCGATTTACATGCTAGGTGTAATATAGGAAGGGTTTCTTAGTATCTTGGGTATGACCATTGCTGTATAGGCCTCATGTTTTCTTAGAATGGAAGTCAAAATATAGTAGATGCCTTGAGGGATTTTAGGTGCTTTCCAGTTTTCCAATGTATAGAAACATAATTGGGGTCTTTAGAAGACTATAGATTTATAATGGAGTATATTTGAGACATTGTGTATGAACAGTTAAATCCACATGGCTGCTTCTTATTGCTTTCTTCTCCCTTTTCTTCCCCGTTTTTGTGAACAATCCTCTTCTTGTATTTACAAACTAGCCCGTGAGAAGATATTCCTGATCAAACAAAGGTCTGGTGCTGATTAATAGCTTTATGCACTGCATGTTCCATGCTTTAGGAACTTACCATTCCGTAATCCTTACACCTGATTTCCTCACTTCCTATTCACTTCCCCTCTGTTCTTTCTGCCGCCCTTTATAGCAGTTCTTTCTCATCTTCACTCTCTACTCATTTCTTCCCCAACTTCCTGTCATTAACCCCCCGAACTATGTTTTTCTTCTCATTCTTAACTTTTCTTGGAGCCTCGCAAACAGTTTCTCTCAGGGCCAATGCATGATCATTTGATTGTCTCGTTTATGTCCATCTCTTTGAGGAAAACTCTCGTCCACAGAATATTCCTGTTTCATCTACTCATCATAAACTTTAGTGACACCCTTGAAATTCCTTAGAGCCATCAATGATGTCCTCCTGAGACCAGTAATTATTGCTCATGTTGTCCTTCTCTGTTGATCTCCTTACTGAAACCTTCTCATGAGCAGAATAGCCCTGACCGTAGTTGTTTCCTTTAACCTACCGTAAACCTTTTCTAATACCCACCCACGATATGATATTGTCATGTATTTTTATGTAGCTCATAATGTGTACTTTCTTGGATTTGGTGAGAGAAATCTAATACAATCAAAATGATACTTTAGATAATTCTATCAATTGTTTTTCCTTCATAATGTACATTGGAGTCTGACTTTGTCAAATCAACATTATGTAGCAAGTAGTTCCTGTTGAATGGCTAGCTTTCATTTCTTTGATTCTTTATATGGTTGTAAAACCATCACTGCAGCTGGTTCGTATCGAGAAACTGTTGCCCTTCTACAGTTGCATATTCTACTAGATTTGCTGAATTTGTGAGTTCTAATTTGACTGAATTTATGCCTTGGCATTCGCTGTAGGAGATAGTCCAGAGTATAGAAGAACCAGTCTTTCAGTTTATACTATACCACCCTAACACAAGTGAACTGTTTCATTCTGTGGTTAATGTGGTTTTCTTTTTTCGATTCTGCTTATGCATGCTCTGCTGTTCCTGTTGACATTGCTTTTATTATCTTAACAGTGTATTTTGCCCTTTGATATTTTCAATCATCATACTTAGCACCAAATGAACCTCTTTGTGCTTTATTGCAGAAAAGGAAGTATCAAAATATGTCAGGTTATCTCTAGAGCCCCGCACTCTGCATGGTAGAAAAGTAATAAATGTGTGTCTTAACTCCCTCAAAAGCAAGGTACCAGTAGCGAACACTTTAGCTATTTGTTTTCTGGCTTGTCATTTATCCAGAGAGGCTATTCTACCCACCGATATAGCTAAATGGGCATTGGAGGGAACAATTCCATATTTGGCGGCTTTTATCGACATTGATAAACGCTTGAGTAAATCCTCAAAGGCGTGCCGGTTGAGCTCAAGATTGTTGTTCTGGCCTATGCGAGCGGTGGGGGCTGAGTGGATAGAGAAAGCTGCTGCCACTGTTGCTCAAAATATAGGATTGCACCTTCCTGCTGTGAATTTCTATTCAATTTCTTATCGGTATCTCAAAAATTTATCGCTTCCAGTTGATGGAATTCTTCCATATGCATGCCGAATATATGAATGGTTGATGCCCCCTGATTTACTATTGTCATCGAATGACTGCCGGCTTCCAACTCGTGTTTATGTTTTGGCCATATTGGTCATAGCAATCCGCCTGTTATACAATATAAATGGGCTAGGGCATTGGGAGAAAAGCTTGCCTGGTTTTCATAGCAATTATTCCTTGGATGAGCAGGATGACAAACGTGAAATGGAAAATGACTTTCCCCATACTGAAAATGGCCAATTTGATGGCTCTGCAACTGGAAAAACTGCCAACTTGACATCCACCCCACCTTATCAGAGTTCTGAACTGGATGCTAGTGAATTGTTGCAGCACCTTGAGACCACTTATGACAAGATTATTCTTGGACGCGGTAGTCTTTTAGAAGAGCACTTCTATCTTTTGGTTTTGAGTTGCCTAGGCTTCCTGTCCTGGAAACTATCTTAGAATCCAATGGACTGTGGGAAAACCATATAATCCTTTGATCATCATCATTCAGTTAGATGATGGGCATTTATGGATTGTTGGACACTGATTGGTGGGTTCATGTCTCCTTCTGGTCAATTTGTTCTCTCCATCACCATCCATTTCAACGGGCAATGGTGACTCAATGTGGATTATGGTTTTCCTAGCATCCATTGGAGTATAGTCCTTTAACTTTTGCTGAAGGATGCTTAGATATGTTTGATGAGATTGTTTATATTTCAAGAACTTTTGACCCGTCATAGATGGCCCCTTTGTTTCACTTTGTACTGCAATATTCATCATCGGCAAAGTCTTTTCCTAACTAATTGGGGTTGGCTACATTAATCATGGTCTGTCATTCTGCTCTATTAAGGGCTATCCCTTAGTGAGGCCTTAAATCCCCATATCTTTTGTACTGCAATATTAAAAATTGTAATTTATTTTTACTTAAACTTTCTAGTCTAAAATTACAGAATCGTATTAATCAATGCCTTTGATCTGTTCATAGGTTACTCGAAGGACATGGAAACTTACCTTAAATACTGTAAGGATGTTGTATTTGCTGGATTAGCACCATCAGATACTGAGAAGCAGATAATATCATACTTCTGGAAAATTTATGAGGAACAAGATCAGGTGAGTTTCAACTTTGATGGCTGTTAATTTTTATCAGTGCAATGTTGATTTAATTTTATGCAAGATGGAATGAATGTCTCATTTACGACATCCTAAGTTGAAAATGTCATGGGATAATTGAGCCACTTTTTGCACTTCTGTTGAAAATTTTACTTCTAAATATCTTTGAATGCTAATGTACAGTAAATATTAGTTGTTCTTTAATTGAGGCTTTTCCAAGAGTTGGTTAAATTAGGATGATATCTTAATGTTGAAAACCGGTATTTGTCTTTCAGTTTTCATAGTTTTGGCATTTCTTTATGAAGTATCACATTTTATATTAACCTCATGTCTCATGATATGCAGTATATTGCTCATACAAACTTAAATGCGGATAAAATAGGTGGTTTTGCTATTTACTTGTCTGGCGAACTCAAAATGTTGTGGGAAGGTAAACTCAACGTTGAAAATTACAGAGCCGGGCTGCTGCCTGGGTGGCCACCTAGTTCACTAGGTGGCTCATCTAGGAAACTTAGGGGTCTTGGCCCCAGGGGAGTTGTTTAGAGGGGTTTGGTTGCCTCAAAACGATCTTAGAAAATATAGTCCCTGATATATATATATATATATATAAACTTTCCATTGAATTTCTTAGAGTCCAAAAGTCAAATAAAAAATAAAAAAAGAAGAAAAAGACGCCCGATAGGTCAGTACCTATCTCCCAAAATCAAAATTCCACTATAAACAGTTCATCATAGCCAAGTGAAACAAAGAAAACGAAAAAGAAAGAAAGAAAAGAAAAAGTCCAATTCCAGACTCCCAACATTACATCAGATGTGATTATGATGAACTACACACTCCCAACATTCCCTCTTGCCGAAGGGCACTGGGTATCTCCTGGTCTCCCGCTTGGAGGCAGGGCGCCTAGGCACCCTGCCTTGGCCCTTATGCGGGCAGGAATTTTTTAACACTGGGTAAACATTTCTGAGCTCATAAGAGGTTCAAGATTTACCATTCAAAATTAGTGTCTATTCGGTGTTTGGGGTTGCAAACATTTCTAGAGTCAAAAAATGTCTACAAATGCTAGGGCTTTTATTAATGCAACGCATGTCAACTCCCTCTAGCATTCTAGTTTATCAATGTGCAAGTGATTCTTGAGTCCCTCTCTGTAGTGATCACTGTTGTTATTATCACGGCCTTACCATTTTCCTCTCCCCCATTTCTATAGCCACATGTTGGTGATAATTACATGCACACATATACATACACAGAGAACACAAGGCTTTTGTGTTGCCCTACCTGATATTCCAGCTGCCCCAACTTGACATGAATACAAGGGCTTGAAGCCCTCTTTTGAAATCTGATCTTGTGAAGGATTTCTGGATACTTGACTGCTTTTACCAAGATCATGTCTGTGTCCAATGTTCCGTGCTTCTAATTTCAGCTCAATTGTGAATGAAGTGTGGCACTAGGCTATGCAGGAATAAGCTTATTATACTCAGAGAAGGAATTGTGACGTGACAGTTTAGCATTTAACGAGTGAAATTATGAGATAATTGATGATTAATCTCAATTTTGATTTCTAGAATTTTGGACATGAATATTGGAGATGGTTTAGATTTATTGTATGATTCATTGCCCTTTTTCAGGATGCGAATCATTGTGATGATTTCTCAATTCATCTTGTTTTTTTTTCTGGAATCCTTGAAAACGTTCCAAGCCCTACCTCTCCTCATTCCTCAAAAACTAATGGTTCTTGTGAACAGTGCCATGAACAGTGCTGTGAACAGTGAAAACTAGAGAGACAAAAAGAAGAGGAAAAGAAAGAGAGAAAAGATGAAAGAGAAGAGAGAGCCCACATACACCTCTTGAACTTTATTTACAATAACAGGAAGAAAATATCACAGAAATTCCCTTTAAGTAAATTAGTAAAACATAATGTCATAAAGTTCATAATAAAGGACAAAGATACCCCATACTACATTCAACACGCATAACCACATAATGATTTAATCTGTAACACTCCTCCTGGAGCATAGATATCACCCATCCGCAGCTTGGAACAAATTTTCCGTTTCTAGTTACAACCAAAAGCTTGGGTACATATATCAGCCAATTGATCTTTCGACTTCACTTGAGAGTTGTTATCTGCTTACTTGTCACTTTATCCCGAATAAAACGGCAATCAACCTTGATAGGTTTTTTTCGCTCATGAAAAAAAACTGGGTTGCTAGCAATATGTGTGACTTGCCTGATTGTCACAGAATATCTTCATCGGCTTAGTAATCAAGAATCCCATTTTCTTCATCAAAGTTTTTAACCACAATAGCTCCTATGCAGTGTGAGCCATTGCTCTATACTCAGCCTCTGCACTAGACCTTGCTACCACATTTTGTTTCTTGCTTTTCCAGGTCAGCAAATTTGTTCCAACAAAGTTATAGTAGCCTGTAGTAGATCATTTGTCTGATTGAGATCCATGTCATCCCAGAGAAATCATCTACAAAAATTAAAAAATATTTGTAACTAGACATAATTTGAACTCTAGCAGGACCCCAAATATTTGAATGAACAACTGCAACAAGAACAAACATTCGTTTGTTGACTCTTGGGTGGAAGGAAATCCTATGATGCTTGCTTAACTCACAAGTCTCACACTCTAGGGTTGACAAAGACTCTAATGAAGGAACTAGCAACTTCAAATTATTGATAGATGGATGAACAAGCCAGCAATGCCATTGAAGAGGAGAAACACCGGAACGAAGAGCAGCACTAACAAGACTACGACCAAGATAGTAGAGTCCTCCAGACTCACGACCACCACCAATCATCTTCTTCGTCTTTAGATCCTGAAAAACACAATGTGAAGGATATAAAGTCACTGAACACTGAAGAGATTTAATTAATTTACTGACTGACAACAAACTATATAGAAACTTTGGAACATAGAGAACATATGACAATGAAAGTCAAGGAGTAGGACAAACATGCCTTTCCCAGACACACTAAATAGAACCATCAGCTAATGTAACAGAAGCAGTGGAATCTAATTGATTGAGAGAAGAATAATACAAAAAGACTCACCAGTCATATAATTAGAGGCTTTTGAAGAGATGACCCAGGGAGATGGCCTCTGAGACGCAAGAAATGCAGAAGTACCTGTATTTGCCAAAGTGGCAGTGGAAGATGATGGATGAGTAGGTGGCTGTTAATAATTCCTTATTGGCTTATCATATTCTTTATGTGAGCGCAAAACTGAATCACTAGTAGAATTAAGGGCCTAACACTGATTAATGGAGCCAAGTGTATGTATTTCATCACTCTCAGAAACATAGGCTGCCTGATTAGCCCAAGCGGCCTTGCCAAACTTGTCCCAACATTTTTCAGCCATATGATTGGTCCGTCCGTTGGCCTCTACCTCGACCTCCCCCTGAATCACAGCCACATCCTCTATTATTACCACCATGGCCCCTACTGAACCTCTACCCGTTGTGGAAGTCGAGGCAAATCCATCACTCATACTGGCAGTAGATACAATAACCCGTGGAAGATGTAAGTACACATTGTTGAGAGAAGGAAGTTCACTACTAGCTAAGATCCAGGCACAAACATAATGATACTCAGAACTAAGGCCGAACAAGAATATTACAACTGTAAATTCTTCCCTTTTCTTCTTTAGAAGATCTGTATCATTTAACGGAGGTTGATATATGTTTAACTCTTCTACATACCTTGAAGAATACTATGATAATCACTAAGACTCTTGTCACCTTGCTGTAAAAGGAACATGCTCTCATAGAGTTGATAAATTTGAGAAATATTTTCATCAGAAGAGTACATCTCCTGTACTACCTTGCACACTTCTTTGGCAGTATCAAAAAACGTGACATTAGCCCTCACATGGGAGTCTATACTATTCTGTAACCAGGTTATAATTTGATAGTTTTCTTTAAGCCACTCCTCATACCGATTATCTGACTCTTTTGGCCCATCTTTAGTTAGAAACTTTATCTTTCCCCTTGCTCCTAGAAATACCTCTATAGACTTGACCCATAAGAGGTAGTTAAGCCCATTTAATTTCTCATGTCACTAATAGTAGAAATTCCAAGCGTACTTTCTTCAGCCACAAGGAAAAGATAATTACACCCAAAAAAGGTATGCTAGAATATATCAGGCCGAGCACAATTGGGAGCCCTAAAACACTGAATTGAACTTTATAAATTCATTGAATCACAAAAACAATAGTTTGCAAGGCAAAGGACTGCACATATAACAATTCTTACAATCACTTACGGAGATAAAACTTATCATTCAGGCTTTGATGATCCTCTATAGGACTCCTATTGCTTCAGACGAGATCAGCACCTAACGAGATTAGGGTTTTCCTCCTCCACCAGTCCTTTTTGTTTGAGGAGTTTTAAGTTAAGGAGAAGATCAATTCAGATCTGCTCTGATACCATGTGAACAGTACTGTAAATAGTATTATGAACAGTTCTATGAACTGTGAAAACTAGAGTGAGAGGGAAAGAAGAGGAAAATAAAAGAGGGGAGAGAAAAGACAAAAGAGAAGAAAGAGAGAGGTGCGTAGACTAATTGCCTAGCCCACGTACACCTCTTAAACTGTATTTAGAATAACGGGATGATAATATTATAGAAATGTCCTAATGTTTATGAAAAAAGGACAAAGATACCCCTATTACATTCAATACTCATAACCACAATGATTTAATCTTGAACAGTTCTGATATAAGATATGTGTGTGTGTGTGTGTGTGTGTGAGAGAGAGAGAGAGAGAGAGAGAGATGTTTGTACGTACACACCACTTCAATCACCTCTTTTCTGCTCATTTCAGTAGACTCCGAATCTCCATTTTTTTGGTGTTTACCCTCCAGTTGTCTGCTGGAATCAATTTCCATTTCCACTTTTGTTATTTATTGCGCCTTTTGTGCTCCTTTTTCTCTCTCTTGTGATTTTGTGAGACGCCCTTTTGGTCTCAGAATGCAATGCATGGCTGATATATAGAAGCTTGAAATATCTCTCTATTTCATAATCTTTAACGGTTCTGATATTAGATGTGTGTGTGTGTGTGTGTGTGTGAGAGAGAGAGAGAGAGAGAGAGAGAGAGAGAGAGAGAGATGTTTGTAGGTACACACCACTGCAATCGCCTCTTTTCTGCTCATTTCAGTAGACTCTGAATCTCCATTTTTTTGGTGTTTACCCTCCAGTTGTCTGCTGGAATCAATTTCCATTTCCACTTTTGTTATTTATTGCGCTTTCTGTGCTCCTTTTTCTTTCGCTGGTGACTTCAGGAGACGCCCTTCTGGTCTCAGAATGCAATGCATGGCTGATATATAGGAGCTTGAAATGTCTATCTATTTCAGGGTGCAACAACTCCACCTGAACATACAGAAAGCTCATTGAGATATCAAAGTTCGAGACATAGGGAAAGTGCAGAAGTAGAAGGGCAGACAAAGCATGACTGTGAGATTGAAGCAACTGGAGCTATTGGAAAGCTAATATTGGATATGGAAGCGAACGGTTTTTGGTACCTTAGGCCCAGATTACATCCCCGAACCAAGGCTTATCTTATCTATCGGAGGAAGGTGGTTGATAGGAAGTATGAATACTTGGTCCATGCAGATTACTACATATTGCTCCGGGCATTTGCACGGCTCGGTCAGGTTAATCCTCGGACCTTGCATTTGGCCTTGTTGAGGCTGGAGAAGAGACTATACTGGATTGAGGACCGGATAGATAAAAATCTGCATGCTTTGTCCAACATACACAGTTGAACTGTGAATGCGGGAGAGGAAATTTTGTTGATGCTCTTGTTTGTAGTGTCTGGGTTCAAGAACAGAACCTCAAGGTTGAATTATGAGCTTGAACCCTGAAAAGTTTGTACTGGTGAAACCGACGTTTTGGGAATAGATCGAGATCCAATAAAGAAAGATGAGGATACCCTTCTTTACTCTTCTAGAGATGGATCAGTGCAGATTTCTCTGACTTACATCGGTGTACAAGGTTATTTGTGAATTACTTTTTTCAATCTTAAGTTGGGCGTGCTCACATGTAATATATTTTCATGTTTTGGGTGCTAGCCCTTTATTCTAATGGCTATTAAAAAAAAATGATTTCAAGCCCTAAATATAGAGCATATTATAAACATTATCTAGACCATCTATTATCAAAATATTAAAGTTTTTATAGATCCACTCCATTTATAACATTTTTGGAGCTTTGCATTTTACAGTTAGGGGTCCAAATAGATTTTAAGGCCATCATAAGGGTTTCCATATATTCTAACTTGAGTAGCAGACAATCAACCCTGCTTTTTGATGGAGCATGGAAAATAATGGCAGTAATTCGGGGAGGTTCGCATAGAAACGAGGAGTCGGTGTATGTTAGGGGGTGTAGCATTTAAAGCTTGGTTCAAATTTTTAGTGGCATGGCATCTAAGCGAACATTTCAGAGCTAAGCACCAAACTTGATCTTATGCGTCATGTGAAGGTATTGGACATCGCCCGCTAGACCCCTTTTTACATAACGCACACAAGTTTCTGAGATATCCCATACCTGCTCTTGAGCATACAAATTGTTTGCTATTCATACTTCAAAAGGAATCTGATCACGCTGCATCTAGATGATCTTTTGTGTGAAAGGTTTTCAAGAAATGAAAAATTTCGATCGAAATCAGCTATTTGGTGAAACAAAAGCACCAGGGCAGAATAAATAACTCAGAAGTGCAGCCACAAATGTCTTAATGAGATCTCAACCCGGTTGCACTTTTCAACAATTAAAAGCGCTCAGGGAAGTTTTACCTTCACCGATATGCCTGTTTAACAGAAAACTCAGCGGCATGAATTAAAAAAAAAAACATATTTATCTCTTTTTTGTTACATATCAAGGGAGCAATATTAAAAGAATTATAGATTAGGAAGTAATCTTTCTTTATTTTCCCCACTGTAACGGCAATCACAGAAACTACCTAAGCCCCTTAACCAGAGTTGTCTTAGGATTCCGCAGAGCAGGGAGCAAGAATAATCCCATTTGCATGACAACACCCCCATCAAATGTTATGCGTCCCATCCCTGGGTTTGTCTATGGACATGCCGTTGCAGCCTCCAAGGGCGCCCTGTAAGGCTTCTGGAAGTACCTGTCCCCGAAGGGGTTTATGACCATGCCTCCCAACTGACTAGCCAATTGCGAGATCGCCATTGTGCTTGAAGAGTGGTGGGTGAGCCACGTGCACTGCATCTCTGAGTTACCCACCCAAATGTAAGCAAATTTGCCTACTGCCTTAGCCGAGACGCCTTAGCCATGGAATCTACAGCTGCTCATGTCCACAAGAAAGTCTTACACAGTAAGCACCAGCTCCACAGCGTTTGCAGCAAACTTGGCATTGCAGGCCACCATAAGAGAGTGGCCCATCAAATGCGCCTCATCAACCATCTATATGAGAAGCCAATCTTGTGTCACTGGCTTTAGCGACAAGAGCGTATTCGTGGATGGTGGTCCACTACAATGACACTGAAGAGTGGCCTAGGCCCAAACTCAAAACCAGAAGGCCCCACTTGTTTTTCGGGAGAGAGGAGGAGACTGAGTGAAGTTCGATGAGAGCGTGAGAAGGAGAGAGAGACGATGTGATTGTATTCAGGTGTGAAGGAGAGAGAGAGGTTGTCATTGATTCAGGTGTGAAGGAGAGAGAGGAAAACTTGAGTTAAGGGGGTAACATAAGCAGGGAGTTTAAACTTTAAACGGAGGCTAGAAATAGGGGTGGCAATAGGCCCGAACCTGACTCGGGACCCACCGGGCATGCCTGACATGAGTCCGGGTATGGGTCCAATATTTGGACCCAATGGGTTGGGTCTAGTTCCAAAACCTGTACCCGAAAACTATTAGGGTCCAGATCTGGGTCCCGTTGGAGCTGACCCGTACCTGGAGTTAAAGTACTTCAAGCCCTATTAGTTTGGGTGTATTAAGGATCGTATACAATAAGAACTTGTAGTCATCTTTAGCTATTAAACGGAAAATCGGACAGTTTGAAATCTAATGACAAGTGCTTGTGACCTTGTTGCTAATAATATAAGTATATGATGGTAAAAAAAATGCAAAAAAAAAGAGAGAGCTCATAGTAAGGGTGGCAATGGACATGACCAGGGACTCGACATGATAGACCTGGGACTTGATGGGTACAGGTATGGGTCCAACATTTGGACCCAATGGGTCTGGGTCCAAAACCTGGACCTGAATACTCTTCGAATTTGGGTTTGAGTCCCACCGGACCTGACCCATACCCAACCTGTTGCCACCCCTACCTAGAAAGGGATAATGTTATTTTCTTCGACATGATATAACGATAGTTAGCAAGTCTTTGTTTAAAAACAAGATTGTTTCAAAAAATCGAAATCTGTTAAGAACTATGAGTTCTTTAAAATATCTTCAAACAATTGTAATTTTTTAGTGGAACCGATATAAATCTATGTTTTATTTTTTTAAAAAAAACTTTTTTAAAATTTTTTTTCCTATAAATTTATTTTTTCATTAACTTAATATTATTAAATTTTGATTGAAAGATACGCACATTAATGGCTGGAGTAAATTAAGAATCTTGATTTAACAAAAAATTCCATAAATTTTTTTGCCAAAGTTCCCTTAAACAAAGTGTACGAAAAATAAAAGCAATATATTCTCCAAAAATAAGATATCAAAATAATCATATATCTCACAATAATATGTAGAGTTAGAAGAAAAAGTAACTGAATGAAAAATCTTCAAGAGAGAGATTCAATGATACTAAAGATTTAAGTAAATTTGGTTAAACATTTTGTTGCTTTCTTTATGCATAAAAAGTTTTATTAATATAAAATTTTTATTTTTATTTTTTATTTCATTAGTGTATATAACATAACATTTTGAATGGACCACCATTTTACATATTTGGACGTTTTTACCAAAGTTCCCTGAAAAGAAGGGTACGAAAAATAAAAGCAATATATTCCCCAAAAATAAGATATCAAAATAATCATAAATCTCACCATAATATTTAAGTAGCTAGGAATTCAATGATACTAAAGAAGAGAGATTCTCAATAAAAAATCTTCAAGAGAGATTCAATGATACTTAAGATTTAAGTAGCTAGGAATTCAATGTAAGATTTGAATTTGGTTAAGCATTGTGTTGCTTTCTTTATGCATAAATTTGTTTTATTAATATTAAATGTTTATTTTTATTTTTTAATTTCATTAGTGTATATAACATAGCATTTTGAATGGACCACTATTTTACGTATTTGGATGTTTGTGTTTTATTTTAGTTAACTATAATCCTATACTCAGTTCTTTTTTTTTTTTTCATACGAATAATAATCCTACCTTGGTTTATAGTTCTTGTTATTTACTAATGTAGTTCTACTTTTTAGTATTGTCATTGTTTCATTTGATGCCCCCAATCAATCTATTTTATGTTTTATATTGTGACAATAAAGTAAGCATTGTCAGATTTATTGAGAGTTTCGACAAAAAATTATCCAGTATTACTCAAATGGCACTAGATAAAGCCATAAAATTATTATTCAATGGCTTTAATGTATCTATACAATAAGTACAAATCATAATCCTATATTGTGTCATTTTTACATATCTGATTCTTTCACTCTGCTGTTTGTTTAGCCAAGTCCGAAATATTCATGATTCTATAATTTATCTTATTTTGGGCGATTCGTATTTTTTACCCAGCTTTTTTTTTTTTGACTTTTTAAAATAAAATTGATTTATTACCGATGCTTTGGTTTGTTATTTTCCCCAACTTTCTAACTACGGGTCAGTTCCGAAAGTTAAAGTACAACACTGAGAGGTGACCATTCCTCAAAAATTAAAATCCACTCGATGCTACTGCATTCACACTACGGTGGTGTTTGATAAATTTTACTACAGTTTCCCATAGAAATCCCTACTGTTTGTTAACTTTCCTAGATTCTGGAAGCAGATGAAAATGGGTAGCATAAAAGCTGGGGACCTTGTTTCATAAATTGTGGTGTTAGTATTTTCAATTGATTGTCATATGGAAATCTTGTATGTGTATATGTGTGTATTTATATAGGAAAGGCTTTTGTGAGTCAATGGGCTCACAAGAAAAAATGAGCCCAATGGTCTAGATTGAATCTGGACCGATCTAACTATCACGAATGCCTGATAATGTTTGAATTTTATTTTATTTTTACAAATTCAAATTACTTAAAATTGTAAATGTATGTTGATAAAAAATAAGTGAATATTCGAAAAATATTAAAAAAATATTTTACATGAAAAAGATGATAAAAATACCCCTGTAAATTTTTGGGGGTATTTTGGTTATTTTTAAAATTTTGGATTATTATTTTTTATATTTTTATTATGTGCGACTTGATGAGAAAAATATTCACCTAAAATTTCAAGTGATTTGGATTTATAGAAAAAAAAAAAAAAAAATTATGCTTTCGATCATCAGATCAACCCAGATTCAATCTAGATCATTGAACTTATAATATTACGTGAACTAGTAAGTTCATCGTGGCAT